TCAGGGAGTGAGAAGTTGCCCATTCCACTCTCTTCTTGTGCAGGATGGCTTTGGAAATACAGGGTCTCTTATGATTCCAGACAAATTCTATGACTGTCTTTTCTAGATCTGTGAAGAATGTCTCTGGGAATTTAATAGGAATTCAATTAAATATGTAGATTAATTTGGGTAGAATTGCCATTTTGATTATATTAATTCTTCCAATCCAAGAACATAGGATGTTCTTCCACTTTTCTGTTTTGTTTTTTTTTTAAATATCTTTTTAAAGATGTTCATAGTTTTTTCTTGTAAAGGTCTTTGACTTCCTTGGTTAGGGTTATGCCTAGGTGTCTTATATATTTTGTGGCTACAGTAAAAGGAATTCCTTTATTCAGTTCTACCTCCATCAGCTTGTTGTTCATATATAGAAAATACTGTAGATTTTTGGATGTTGATTTTGTATCCAGCTACTTTATTCATTTATTACTTCGAAAAGTTTTTCACAGATACCTTTGGGTCTTCTATGTATTCCATCATGTCATCGGCAAATAAAGATATTTTCACCTCTTTTTTTCCTATTTGAGTGCCTTTTATATTATTCTCTTTTCTGATTACATTGGCTAGGACTTCCAGTACTATGTTGAAAAGGAGCGGAGAAAGTTGGCAGCCTTGTCTTATACCAGCTTTTAGTGGGAAAGCTTTCAGTTTTTTCCCATTCAGTATAATGTCAGCTATACGTTTTTCATAGATAGGTTTTATTGTGTTGAGAAATTACCCTTCTATGCCAATTTTTCTGAGAGTCTTAATCATGAAAGGATGTTGTATTTTGTTGAATGCTTTCTATGCATTGAAATAATCATATGTTTTTTTTTCCTCTTAATATGGTGTATTATAAAGATGGTCTTGCATATGTAGAACCAACCACCCTTGCATTCCTGAAACAAAGCCTTCCTGGTCGTGATTAATACTTGTTTTTATATGCTGTTGGATACGATTTGCGGGTATCTTGTTAAGAATTTTTGCATCTATATTCATCAGAGATATTGGTCTGTAGTTTTCCTTTTTTGTCATGTCTTTATCTGTTTGGGGAATGAGTATGATGGAGGCTTCATAAAATGAATTTGGGAGGTTTCCTTCCATTTGGATCTTTAGAAATAATTTGAGTAGAATGGTTTCAGAAGTGAAACCATCAGGATCTAGGCTTTTCTTTGTTGGGAGATTATTTATGACTGATTCAATCTCCTGGCTTTTTATGGGTCTATTCAGTCTTTCTATGTCCTCCTGATTCAGTCTTGATAGATTACATGCATCCAGGAATTTGTCCATCTCCTCCATGTTCTCTTGTTTGTTGTCATATAGTCGCTTATAGTATCTTGTAAGAATGTTTTGTATTTCTATTGTGTCTTTTGTAATATTGTCTATTTCATTATATATGTGATTTATCTGGATTCGTTATTTCTTTTTCTTAATAAGTCTAGCTAATGGTGTGCTGATCTTGTTAATCTTCTCAAAAAAACAATTTTTGTTTTCATTTATTTTCTGTATAGTTTGTTTATGTTCTATTTCATTTATTTTTGCTCAAATATTTTTTAATTTTAAATATTATGTATTTAATTTTATTTTATACATTCAATTACATTATTTAGCTTACAAAGTGAATATTGTAACTTGTGAACATTTCTCCCTTGTCTATATACCGATATTTCTGATGAATATA